CCCTTTAAATAAGGGTATATGATTCTATGATCCCCATTTAGGGTATATAGATGGCAGATGGAGGGTCTAGGATGTTAGCAGAAATGCTAGTAGCAGCAGGGTTCAGGGTTTAGGGTTGGGATGGGCTACAGGCAGTTTCCTTTTTCATACACCCCAGAACCCTAACTCCGAATCAATAAACAATACAAAATGGCTGTGTGGACTTGCGTGTTTTGGCATTATGTTTCAAGGGAAGGAGTTCAAGGCTTTTCCGAAAAACATAGCAGGAGGGCTATGTACGGCTGAGGGGTTGGCATGTAGCCATTAAGTGGTGCACAGCTGCGCAAGGACAATCATCTCGAAATGACATACCTGGTACTGCAATGTAAGGCTTCCAGAATCCAAGGCCAGGACGTCTTAGCTGATTCACTCTCTTGCCCAAAGACCCTAAGACCCCTAAAACACTAAACCCTAAACCACTAAACCCTTAACCCTAAAGCCCAAAGTCACATTTTCAACATCCCTTGAATTGACTGCCGCTTGTTTCGCCTGAAGCTCTTCAGCCAAGGCAACAGCTGCGGGACCGTTTAGGCTTCAGGCTTTAGGGTTAGGATTTGAGGGGGCTCGGATTTCGGTATTTGCTTCCATTGTGTCTGGTCAAAAGAGCGGCAGACTGCAACCAACCCTCCACCAATGTATTCCATGCTGCTGACAGCATATCCTGCTCATCAACACTCACCCCAGCACTTTTTCAAAACACAGGTGCAACAAGCACAACCACAGGAATCAGAACAGCCCAAGTTCGTAGTTGAAGCCTGGAAGTCAAGTGAAGCGCATGACATGCTCATGCACCAAGAGCCCAGGCTCTTTTTTGCCAGCTTTCTCGGAGCTAAGCGCTCAGGAGCTGTTCTGCCACAGCACTGCTATCACCGCCTAGATTTGGGGAGCCCCATGACCTTGGATGTCTCAAAACCTTTGCAGCCTAGGCACTCAGTGTCTGGGTACTTGGGATTTTGATAATAGCAATAGCAGTACAGGTCTTTGGGAAAAATATGATAATTGTGTTCTGGGACCCGTATCTGGGGGGCCCTATTGTTATGGGGAGGGGGGCTTCCAACCTTTAAACAGGGTCCAACATCAATTACATAAACAACTGTTAGTTACACATGCCCCCCGATTAGCCCTCGGGTGCCATACTACAATAGACATCAAAAAACCTGCTTGACACGACGTAACCGCTGCCCGCTCATAACACCCCCGGCTGAACTACCAAGACTCCAGACAAAAACCTAAACGCCTGGAACGACTGTGCCTAAAGTGAAGTACTACCCTGAAAAGGTGCATATTCCGGGTAAACTATGGAGACCTACTTGCATCTCCAAACATAAAACCCCAAATGAGCCCAGAAAGCCCAACAATTATCGCGTAACTGGGGAAGATGGCCTAAATTATACGAGGATCCCGTATATGAGTTTAGGCATATATATTCCCTAATTTCTGCATGTTGGGCTTTCTGGGAGACTTCCCAACTACGTCCCGGTGGCACAATGGAGCCGTCCCTCCGAATACCTGCGAAGGAATGTTTCGAAGCGTGGACTTGCCAAACATCCTCCTTGGGCTTCTTCTCAATCTCAGAGGCCCCATAATCCCCTCCCTCAACATATTCCGTTTTACAGTATACTACAACGGGAAGATTATGGAAGATTCCGTATGAGGAGTGGGGGATTCTAATATAGGGGAGGGGATTCATATGGAAGGACTCAGGAGGCCCCTTTGCAATCCCTCAGAATGCCTACATATATCTCTACGGCCCATGAGGGTATTCCTGTTCCGAGAAACTCATTCGTGCGCTGCTGCTGATGTTGGGGTTGTCAAACTCATCACCTTCTTGAAAAGGCCACGGCCAACCCAACCCCACATGTAGTACCCTAGACCTATCATATGACTTTTATAGTAGGCTCCTTGTTTTGGGGTTACCAAAATCCTCCCCAAACTTACTGGTGGTTAGAAGGGAATAAGGGAATAGAGTCCCGTCATAATCCTGTTATAATATATTCCCCAAGCCCTAAGCCTAAACCCAATGCTATGTGTATATATATATATAGAAATAAGTGAAGAGGGCCAAGGTTCTTGGATGCTGCTGATATCTCCCCAGGTCACTGCGAGTCCAGCAGACGTGATGGCCGCAAAAGAATACTCCTAAGCATCATTTTAGGGCTATAGTGGGGTTGATATCGGGGTTCTATTAGGGTTTCTGTAGGGTATAAGGCAGAAGCCACTTAACTTTTAGGTACCTCGAGTAGGAAAACAAGGGAATCCCAACAAGTTAAGGGTCTAAGGTCCAGGCTAAGTGCCATAAGAAGGCCATACGACCCAAAGGGATATATGAGCTATAGTTTAGGGGTTCCTATACAGAATAAGGCGTATAGTATATATCCAGAGGACCTAAATGGATGTTGTGGCATTTTGAAGTCTATCTCGAGGTCCCCCTATTTATGGAAACTACCATATGCGAAAGTAAGGGGAATCTGGGAAGCTGGTATTCAGCTGGGTAGGATCTGTAAAGGAATAAAGTGTCGCGCGGGATTTAGGCACACTTCCCGATTTGTGCATCACATCCTTGCGCAGGGGCCATGCAAATGTCTGTCTCTGAACTTATCTCAGATTTGCTTTCGGCAGCAGTTGTTGCTTTAGGATTGCAGTTTTCCAGAATACCCTGCCAAGTCATGCTAGAAAAGAATCCGCAACATGACATATGCCAAGAATCTGAAGATTGGATTTCCTGCACGCCCTTCAGGTACTTCTGGACAGAACGGCTGTTCCCTCCGCCATACTGGTCTCCCCAGGTTACCACGGATCCATCCTCTAAGACAGCTGCAAAAGCGGAGGTGTTTGACTGGATCTTCAATACGTTCTTCAGACAGTGCTGCACGGCGCTGCTGTCGCCACCGAAACCAGACTTCCAGGTGACGACGGATCTGTCGCTGAGGATTGCTGCGAAACCACAAGTTGAGGCCTGAATCTGCTGTACCTGACGCAGCTGATGCTGCACCTCAGTGCTGTCACCTCCGTCTTCAGGGTGACCCCAAGTGACGACAGACCCATCCAGCCTTATGGCAGCGAAAGCGGAGGCAGTGGCTTGCACGTCCCTTACATTCTTCAGCTGCTCCTGAACTGAACTGCTGTCACCTCCGCAGTCAGGACGGCCCCAAGTCACAACTGTACCATCCTTCAGGATGGCGGCAAATGCGTACGAAGATGCCTGGATCTTCTGCACACATCTCAATCGCTCCCTCACGGCACTGCTGTCGCCTCCTCCCCAGTGATTGCCCCAAGTCACAACGTTTCCATCTCCCAGGATGGCAGCGAATGCAAACCGCGTGGCTTGGATGTGATGCACATTGCGCAGCGATGCCTGGACCGCGCTGCTATCACCACCACTTTCCGGCGCACCCCACGTCGCAACAGACCCATCTCTCAGGATTGCAGCAAAAGCTCGGTCTGAGGCCCGCACATGCGCGACATGTGTAAGATCTTCAGGAACTGCGATCGAATCAGACTCCTCTGCCACTCCACCCCATGCACGTAGAGATCCGTCCTCCAGTACGGCTGCAAATCCTGCGTCAGAGGCTGCAAGCTGCCGCACACTTGCCAGTTGTTTCTGCACCTTGCTGCTGTCACCACCAGCAGCAGAATATCCCCATGTCACCACGGACCCATCACCGAGGATAGCCGCAAAAGCAGAATCAGAAGCCGCCAGCATCACAGGCTGTTTTGTCAGTGTCAGGACATCGCCGTCTTTCAAACCAGCAACGCCGGCTGCCATCGAACCACTCAAGGTGCGTCCGGAGGCGGTAAGCAGCTTACCTTTTCCAAACTTGAAGGCCTCCTGCGCTTGCTGTCTGATCTGGTCTACCTTTCTTGCTGCTGTAAACCTCAAAAACCCACATGCAAATAAGGCTCTTCAGGGACCAACATGAAGAATTAGTTGGGACTATAGTCCCAAAGCACAGCCCGGACACTGAAAATTCCAGATCCACCTGGAGCTTCTTGCGCTTACCGCTCATCAAAACGATCTCCAGCTCGATGGACATGCTTGAGAGTCAAGAAGCCCCACTCCCTGGGTTCCCCCCAGGAGTGCGCGCAAATGATACGCATCCGGATGCCGTCAGTTCTCCATATGAGCATGCACGTAACACCAGAATACTGAGCCCCTGTCCGTGGCTAGCTTTGCAGCTTCGCTTTGACGCAGCTGTTGGATCTACAAGTACTGCTGAATTCTAATTCCTATCACCGGTCTTGCTACTGCAGTTGTAGTGAACATAGGAACTACCTGAAAATGATTGCCATGCTCTTGCCACAAGCACTGTTCATGATACTGCCGCTGGAGCTAAAACATCTCATGACCATGTTCATCTACATAGCAAGGATAAACGCACGTGCATGAAGAACGAACTGCAGCTGTGGAAGCCCATCTGCGGAGGGAAACGCTGCAAACTAAAAGCAAAGATACAGCGACGTGTCGGGCTCTATAACAGTCCTAGGGGGCTGGTCTCTACATAAGGGTCGTGATTTCTAGAGATGTTCGTTTAAGTTTACAGGCCTATCATGTATGTACGACACCGCAACTATGAAAGGGGCTGGAAGACGGTTGCAACTAAATCATCAACTGGCCATCTGCCGATGCTCGGGCGTCCCATAGCCAAAGGGTGGAACGCTCGAGAAGTTGAGTTGTAGGGTGGCTAAATGCAATCTACACTCAAATGCAAAGTGTGGATGTCTCCGTGAGCTGTGTTACGTCAACCACAAAGTTCCCACACCAGGCCCCACACACAAAATCTCTTAGAATCGCATGACACTCTATTCCCTACTAAGAACTAAGAACCACTAAGACAAAAAGGTTGGGGGTTGTGGTACATGATGTTGGAAACCGTGACGCAGCCTTTGCAAATAAGTTCTCCCGAGCGCATGTACACTAGGGTTTCCCCACATTTGAAGTCAAAATATGCTGAGCGCCTGACTACATTAAGCACCGCGAAGCCCAGAACACAGCGGTAAAGCAAGAAGAAGACGGAGAACCATTCGCCTGAGTTTTGGAATTTCGCTCGTTGCACAGTGGCAGCGGAAACTCGTTTGGTTTCCCTAAGCTTTGTTTTCGCACTTGATGGGAGATGATGCTCACGTAAACCACAGATTGACAATTACATGCGGAGCCACAATTTCAAAACTTGAGTTTAGCAGGTGCCTATGCTTCCTGATGAATTGGGATAGGACACTTAAAGATATTGAGCCCGGGTTCGACGACCCTTGGGCGCGCACAACAATCCTGATGCGACTTCCATCTGGACCATGAGAACTTGAGCGAAAGAGATGGCCAAGTGTTTTCAGATCCCCTACCTTCCAACTCACTAACCCTTGGCTAGCTGGGAATGGGGGAATAGAAAAGAAAACGGAAACTGCTGTGATGGGTGGTTGTCCAGGGACTACTATAAGGATCCATTCCTTCATTCCTAGCTAACCAAGGGTAAGCTCATGCAGCCGTTAGTCCAAGACTGATCAGCATCAAACAAATTTAGCCTTTATGGATACCTATCCGCAGGGACATGCTCCAGACACACGCTATGGTGGAACCATGCGCCCACGTGAGTGCAACCACGTCATTCCCGATTCAGTTATGTTGGGCTTGAGATCCGTGCAATTGGATGGACGAAAGACACCCTATTGCTATGAAACACACCTCCCTCCGCATTGAAGCTTGTATATAAGCAGCAACCTCTGACCACAGGGCATACTGTCAATGGATCCACGGTGTTTACGATTTGTCGGATTGGTGCTGAGAAGTCTTTGTATGAGGGAAAAGATAACGTGATTGTTGGGGAGCTGATAGCTCAAAACAAGTGTCTGAGCAGGACTAGATAAAAGTTGCCTAGATGATGGCTCCTTCCTCTCGGCCGGGACTGTGACAGCTTCAGCTTTTGCAACAAGAATGTCCCAATTCCGAGAGCTTTGCCTCGTGTTTTGCAAAACCATCGCTTGGGATGCACGCCCCTGAACCCATGTTCCTTAGAATGGCTTTAGCAGCCTGTTTCGCAAGGAGCGTTTCAAAAAATGACTGCAGTAGAAATCGAGACGTCAATTTGCTGTGTAGAAGGTTTGCGGACTAATTTCTCCGGGCTACGGTCATGATTAAGCACAACAATGCTTGTAAACCAGTTGTAAAAGTCAGTCCAGAACCTGGCACCAAAACAGTCGACCGACTTAGTGCAGCAATGCCTGAAAACCACTTGTAAAATGACTCCAGAACCTGCGACCAAAATTGTCAACCGACTGAGTTTTAGTGCGTCTCAGGAGCTCATGTTTTCCAGCAGGACACGTGCCGGTGGGGCCCAGTTCGCGAACAAAATTTCGAACCTGCAGTAGCGATGATGATTCTTGTTTGAATGTTGACCTGTATGGGGCAACACTCACGACCCGAAAGTCGTAACCTTGCGTTGGGAACATTATGCTTCAACACAGCCGGCGCTGTGAAGAGTACAGGCATAAGTTCAGTGCTACTACAGCCAAAGACTGCAGCGGCCCATGCCGCAAGGCACAGGACTAAACCCAGGGGAACTAAACCATAATGGAAAACCCAAGTGAACAAAAACCCCAAAGGACGTGATCCAAACTAGCTAAAAACCCAAGGAAGGGCAACCTCAAGCGTACCTGTCAGCCAGGATCTTAGCTCTGACCGCAACGTGCCATTCCAAAATGGCCACATCGTTAGCCCTGCAAGACGGCCAACCAAGACGGGCCTGCAAAATGCCAAGATTTCGGGTCACAGGCCGATTCAGCAAAGCAACACAATGCCACAGCAGGTGATCAAGAGTGGCCGGCTCACGGCCACACGAAGAGCACACACCAGGATCAGGGCCATCCCAACGACAACGAGCAGCCGGGCTCAGCGTAGCACCACTCATCGCTTGAAAACGTTGGAAGCTGGTGCATGCTTCCCTCGCCCGTGCCACAACACCCTCATCATAAGCAACAAAGGCGGCCCCACAGGCAGCCGAGTCCCGGCGATCCTCACACATGAAAGCGTTGAAGCGGCAATGACGCCAATCTCACGCAAGCAATGCATGGAACGCTCAAAGGCCTGACGGTCAACATCCGACGCAATCCGAAGCGTGAAGGAGAAACGCTCATGCAACCAAACCCATGGCTCGAGCAATGTCCAACCCAAGGCCTGCATGGCTGACTGCACAACCTGCGCCTAGCCCCGGCGGGCCCAAGCACAAGGAAAGCCACGACGCCTCCATGCCTGCTTTTGGGCAGCAGCAACATGGGCGGACAAAACGCGAAAGTCAAAGTCAAGAGAATGGCCACGCAACAGTGCCCGCAACTGAACGCTGGCATTCTTGCCTTCCCGAAGTGCAACCCTAACCGCAGAGTTAACCCGTTCTCTATCCTGTTTAGGAGGTAACCTAAAAACCCAACCCCAAGTGGCTTTTCCCAGACACTGGGTCGAAACAACACACTTGCGGCAGGCCCAAGACACAGGCAACAGCGCACAACGCCTAAGCAGCTTCACTGCCGCGGTGAGCCTAGCCTATTCTTTGGGCGTATTTAACCTGAGCTGCCTTCCACGGAAGTGAACCCCCAAAACACAATGATCCTGCATGATGCGGTCACCCCTGGCACCAGCCTGCAACAGCTGCTTCTGCCAAGGGCACTGGCATGAAAATACGTGGTTTTGGTCGCATTTTCAAGCATGCCAATCTTTTGAGACCAAGCAGCCCACGCTTGTTCAATCCTGAGCGCTTCGTGTGCATCATTTGCCACAAACGTCCTATCATCAATGAAGGACCTCAACGTGCACTGCGGGAAGTGGCTCAGGATGTCTTTCGCGGGCCCAACCAAGCACAAAACCATGCAAACCAGTGACCAGGCATCACCCTGAGGCAAGCTGGTGCTAACAGACACACCGTGAAGGTGGCACTCACCATCATACTGAAGGAATCTCGTTTGATGTTGCCACACCGCAAGCAACCGACAAAGCCCGAGGGGCAAACCTACCTGGACCAACAACTCATGAGCGAGAGCCGGGTCCAACCTATCAAAGGCAAGCGAGAAGTCTAAGCTGACCATAAACCCTTCTTGAGTGAGAGCGGCCTCCTCAAGATCAGCCAAAGCATCCTTGATGCCCGAGCCCCTCTTACCACCACAAGCCTCAGCAGGCCACCAAGATTCAAGCCAACGCTGTCCATCAGGGGACTTGAGTCTGGCGGAGCCGAGCAACCGATACCAAGCACTAAGAACAGTAATCGGCCTAAGCTTCTCGGCCTCGTGAACGCTGTCAACAGCAACAGCTTTTGGTAAGTGCACTTGGCGAGCCGCGGTCCAAGCAGCAGGCACGAGACCCTCCCTTTCAAACGTCTGAAAAAGGGACGCCGCAGTATTGAAAACCTCCAAGGGCAAATCACAAAGCTCATCGCCAGACCAACCATCCATCGAGCCCGCTTTTCCCTTAAACTTGGTAGCCTCGGCTGCCAACTCCTGAGCCATGACCGGGCTCCAAGACCAAGCCTCAACAACAGGGCTATGCTGAAGGATATCCGGCAAGTAGCGACGCCAAGTAAGATTGCGCTGCCAAACACACTGCCAATGCCCCACCAAAATGCACAAGGCCTCTTTGACGAAACCAGAGGACCCGCATTGGGAACGGAGTTGCTTTTCACATTAACCGCCGGCACAAATCCAGCGCCCTTCATCCAAGCAAAACACGCCTTATCAGAGGCCCTGAGCTTTTCGCGCCACGCCTGCAAGTTGTGTTTTTGGACATCCTGCCTAAAACGCTCAAGCAAAACCATAACATAACGGTGTTTCTCCTCAAGGTCCCCCGCCGGCAGCAAGGGATGACGCTGAACAAGGGCAGCAAACCTGGCATACTCGGGCATATGCTGTCGCCCCTAGTTTCTCAACCGCAACATCTCGGACAACCTGTGAGCAAGCTTCTGCAACTTGCGCTCCCTGAAGGTAACTCCGGGCTGCAGCCTAGTCCCTTTGCACACAGGAGTGCGGTACAGCTTCACGCCATTTTTGGGTAGCACCGACCTCCCATCAGGCAAGTCACGCTGGCTGGCATCACCGTGCTCACGGACCCAAGCAGTTTTGCAAACCCTGAAAACATGCTCATCCCAAAGTCTATCAACCACAGCTTGGTCAACCACGCCGGGAATGTCCATGTGAGGTAGCAACGCCCACTCACGGGCAACCGACTCGCGCCAATGATCCTTGGGACAGTTCTCAGGACGCGCCCAAGTGGTAGCACGAGCCAAGCAACAGGCTTCAACTGGCGCACGCACGTCAGGACGAATCCAGAAGAGTAGAACCAAATGGTCGGCAATTACTTCCTCAACTTCATTCGTCAAGCCACAGGAAGCTGGTTGATTGGTAACCCCATAGTCAATGGCACGGTGGCCACCATGCCTATAGTGGTCTTCAAGCTACCAGACTCGTCCCGCAGCGCAAGCAGAGAACAACCGTCATCAACCAGCCACTCGACCATATGGCTTTCATCGGGCGTGGCGTTGTAGTCGCCTGCCAGCAACCAAGGGGCCCCACCGGCCCTACGACTGAGGCACTCCAAAACATGCTGCTGGATCTCAACCCCTCCCAGGCCCATATTGGAGTCAGTAGCTGGCAAAGACATACCCTACCACGGACCTGTGTGAAGGCGAAATCAGCACCCTTCCACGGAGTCGCTGACGAAGTACAGGTGGAGCCCTCAATTTCCAACCTGCCGTCAAGAGCCCAAATGAATCCAAACAGAGGAGCGCCATCCCTTTCCTTTAGCTTGCGTCTGCTGGTTCACGTCCCATCCTAACACGGGGAAGACGCCGGAGTAAAGAGAAGGAGCCACAACCACACTCTTGCGAAACATGACGACTCTTTCTTGGACGTGCACGCCAAACCTGCGAAAAATGATGATGACGACGATGATGATGGTGATGATGATGGTGATGATGATAAACATGATGCTCATGACGCTTGATCCTTGGGCGTACACACATGAGGGGCCGCACCAAGATTCAATAGACCCCGTGCAGAAAGTGTGAACAGCAACCCAGAATGTGAATCGAACAACAAAGCAGACATTAAAAAAAAAAAACACCCCAATGTAACACCCTAAAGCCAACAGGGGCAATATGCCTTTCCAACATGGCAGTGCCAGTACCCGATGGGGAGTGTAAGGTTTTATATAGGGTGTCATAGGGTTTAGGCTTACAGTTTCCCGAAATTGGGGAGGTCATTTTGGGGGGCTCCCTGTAATAAGGACCAGAATACCCCTAGTTTGGAGTACACACCAGAAAAAATGTAGACTTTTGGGGCATAAGTTGTTATAATAAGAACCCAGGAACCAAAAAAGTATTAAAGTGTAGTACTCCAATATTGGGCTACATTGAGGGCGTCAAAAAGAAGACCCTCGTTTTCGAAAGCACCCCTAACCCAGACACGGCAAGTCATCCTCCAAATGAAAATTTCAGATATCCATCCAATATAAATCCCAAACCCTAAACTGCATACGCGAGTTTAGGAAGCTACACATGGAATCTAGGACCATACTTCCAGTGATTCTTTTCGCCTGTATATCCCTAAACCCTAAACTCTAAGCCCCAAACCCTAAACCCCAAACCCTACGTAAACCCTATACCCTCAGGTACGGACTTCGGAAGTCTTGCCAAGGAGCATGGTGAGGATGGTACGGCTAAAAGTGCCGTAATAGCGAAACACGTTCTCAGGGCTTTTGGAGACATTTTTCGTTACATAGGGGTTTAGGGTTAAGGGTTTCTGTAGGGTTTAGGGTTATATTGTGGCTATATAGGGGTTATATAGGGATTCTATAGGGGTTATGTTGGGGTTATATAGGGCTTATGTTGGGGTTATATAGGGGTTATGTTGGGATAATGGAGAACAAGATGGAAACTACAATTTAGGAGCTAGAATCTAAACTCCTTAAAGGGGGTTTTGTAGGGGATACTACAACCCTTTTATATAGGGTTTAGGGATTACGATTTAGGATATGGGTTTAGGGTCTAAACTCCTTGCAGAGGGCTTTATAGTGGATTCTATACTGATCCCTTTATAGGGGGTATGAAGGTGATACTAGGAGTGTAGACTATAGCTAATTTGCGGACGTCTGAAAGAATACAGAGATCGGTGTTGGGCTCTTCATTAATTCAAGGTAATTTAGATGACTTCAATTCCCAATTTAAAGCCATCTTGGTATTACTCCCCATCTCTCTCTCAATTTAGGATGAGGTCGGCTGAGGTCGCCCTAAACCCTAAACCCTAAACCCCAAACCCTCCTATGGCATGGACTTGCACGGTCGGATGGGTCAAGGCTTCAGGGTCTGCTAGGGTGTACCATGTACCAGGTCATCCCTTAGGTCACTAGGCCCTTTTGTTCTCAAAATTATGCGCCCCTTTTGGGTCAAGATCATAATCAGGGGTACGAAAATGGGAGCCTCAACCCAGGTCGTTTTGTGAAAACATGTGATCCTGTGCGGAAGAGCCCTCAACGAGCTCTCGGGGTAGATCTACGATGGCCCAGAATCAGAAGCGCACCTCCCGCAGACTTCAATACTGCCAAGTGCCAAGTATTCAGGGCTTCCGGTTCGGAAGCAAATACATTCCTTAAGCAAGAGTAGCAGGTAGCCTGTCGTTCTTGCGAGACACCTTCGGGTCATGGTTAGTGTGCACTAGAATCAGACAGAAACGGCACAAAAAATACATCCTGCATCCTGAGACATCAGCGCAGCCCTAACCTCTAAACTCAGAGGTCCTGTCGAAGCTCCAAAGCAACGTTTTCGTCCGCCACGAAATCACGGCATAGGGTACTGACAACCCTGGCAGGGGTTCGGAGCTTAGGGTCTTTAAAAGCAGGTTGGTCACCCTCTCTAGTCGTCCTCCTGGTTTGTCATCACTTGGAGGAGCATGTATAAGCTCGTGCGAGGCCCGCTGAGAAATAATGTTAAAACTCCGGTCCACTACCAGATGATGAAGTGACCCTATGGTTGTAGGCTGGTATCATGACATGATGATGGATGATCATGGAGGTCTTGTCTAGGCTTGGTGCCAAAGTTTGGGGGTCCAATGGTTCTTGCATTGGTAGGAGTGGAGTTCAAAATGTTGCACATGTCGGCGATTTGACACACACGAGTGGGTATTCCATCCATGACATCAAACCCGTGCCGTTGCTCGGGCGCAAGTGAGCTCATCAAAGCAGTGTCTCCCCATATGCCCTGAACATGTTATAGCTTCCGCACAGCACACACCCATAGCTTTGAGAAACCTGCTTGTGCTGGAGCTACAACTTGATCCAGCATTCACACTTCACGCTTATGCAGGCGTAGCCAAGCATGTATTACGCCAACATGGGCATCTGCCAAGGGAAGTCGACACGAATTCGTACATGATGGCCCTGAAATCTTTTCACAGGGTGGCTCGACACAATCGCAATTTTAATGGGTGTTCCAAGGCAACACTGAATTTCTGGGACCTGTGAGCCGGGACATTCATCCCTAATCATCATAGTCATAGTTGCCCGTCCCCTTTTAAATGCCCGGACGAAAACCCCGCCCCCTTAACTGGGTTTGAGATAGGAAGGTATCAACCAATGAAAAGGTTGCCAAGCTGAAACTTGAACCGGCCGAGCAGCAGACCGGCAAGGCACTGCAAAAACGTCAGGAGGCAAAAGGTCCAGAATAGCATGTCCACGCTGGCTGACAAGCACTTGATTAACAACCTTGGCTGCATTGCAAAGTTCCACGAGGCGCAGATTTTGAAAGGAATTGCTGCGAGGGTCATACCTCCAAGATAGCAAGTCCTGGAAATTGTGCCCGGGGATTCCTTCGAAACACGCCCGAAATTCTTGTCCAAGTCGGGTAGGCTAACTGTTATTATTGGTAACGAATATCGAGCAGCACCGCCGCCCATCTACCCTAACTTTGAACCTCAAATCCTAGTGAGCTTTCTGTTGTTAGAAGCAGTGGCAGCTCGCCACCCTCCCCGCCTGCAGTCGAATCCTAAGGGTTGAGGGTTTAGGAAGCCTCTGCACGCAGTGGACCTATCTGCTATCAGGTGGGGGGAGATGATCACCACTATCCAACTTCAGGGTTCAAGGCCAGAAGAAATGCAAACATGCCTGGGTGAGGATTTTGGGCTACGGCAGCAAAGACTTGTGACAGTCTCTTTCAAACGGCTCATATAAAGGGCCTAACAATCAATGACATGATTTTAGTTGCCCCTACAACCCCTATAACACCGACCTCATTATCCAAGTTGTGAGGGTTGGGTTATTTTAAACAACTCAATTCTGTGCTTACAAGACTCGTGTTAAAGAGCGATCCAGGGGCTCCCTAAACTCTAAACTGGTCAGTTGTGGGAGTGGGTCCAAAAGGGCATCTCATAGGCACCCCAAAACAGGAAACCAAGAACAAAGTAGGAATATGATACGAATAGCCCTACTAGGGTCCTTATATCCGTATGAGATTCCTACCATGCTCTTGGGGCTCCCTGTTTGGGGTCTCCATTCCAATCTCTTCATTCCACGTTTGAAAATTTCCAAAATTGGCGGTCCCCCCCCCCCCTACTACCCCAATGAAGTAACTACAGTCCTCATCTGTATTCTAGGGACTCGCAACAAAGACGCAGTTGTGTGGAAACCCCATGTCGGTGAAGGAACCTTGCTATCTCAGCATGTGCATACTCTGTATGTCTCATGGGGATTCCAGCTCAAAGGGTCGCAAAACCCTAGCAAAGCCTAACTCCTGAAAGCCCAAGCCATAATTAAGCCTACCCCTAATTATGGGTTCTCAAAACTACCCCACTTACACTAACTCCGTAGGTTGCGCATGAGTTAGCCTTACTTGGGGCAAGCTATGCCTAAGTAACCCCAAGCACCATTGCCCCTAAGCCTTAGTTAATTTAGGGTTTAGGGTGTAGGCCTTAGTGTTTAGGGGAACCTAAAACACAAAAGGACCGTCTATGAGCCAGGGAGCTGCAGAGACTGCAGCACATTCGACATCGTTACCATTCGAAAGGTACGTGCCAGTTTGCCAATGCCTTGCTTCTTCGGCGCAAACTATCCCATAATCGTGCAGTTTCTTTCTCAGACAGATAGCAATACTGCCTCTGCTTGGTTTACAACATGTACCCAACATGCGGGACTTGGCCTGAGCTACTGTCCTCTAAATGGGGGAAAATTATGTACGGACCCGGATTAAAATCGGAATCCCGCTATGACCGGTATGATCATGAATTTGAGGGGACGCCCGCAGCTTCTATTGGGAGATGCCCGCATTCAGTCATTGCCACGCTACTGGCTGCTCAGGACGGCTGAACTTGCTTGGATACTGTGGGGCCCTAGAAAAGCTCTTCTTGGTGGCGCCATAGGGGCTAATTGAAAATGATGTCAAGCCTACACCTGAGTAGCTTCAAAGTTGCGAATTGAAAGCCTGGACAACGTGAAACTGTAGCATTGTACACCGACCATATCAAAATGTCAAGCGTGAGGAGCCTTTGTAGGATGTACTCGGAAGCTGGACCCAGGTTCTAAGGAACGCCACAAATAACTTCCTCATGGCCCACAGAGGCTTTTTCACTTGGGGCCCCCAACCTCCCTAAGATTTAAACATCCACTGTGTATATATATATATATACCTGTATGTCTATTCTTGCAGTACAGTAAAACACAATGGGAATGTTTGTTGTAAGGAGGTGGGGGGCTTTAACATTGGGTGAGTGTCGAAGCAGGCGGAAGAGAATCGGATTGACAGGCACGCCGGAATACATGAAGACCTTCGGAGCAGCGGGATGTAGCTGATGGATTGTTGGAATTGCTGTACATCAGGGACACTGGAGCAAGAAGCACTGCATCAACAGTACAGATAGGTTTTAATGGAGCAGTCCTCTTGAGTCTGCGGGGTTATTTCAAGCGTGCCCTACATCGCGGCTACTTCTAAAAATCCCACATGGAGCCTGGCTGAGAGTTTGGCTTCCAGCTTTGGGACCAAGTTGAGCTTTCCAGCTGAAGGCAATTAAAATTCCAATCACCTCCTCTAGAAATGATCCCCAGGACCCCCTCTTCAACCCCAAAACTAAAGGTCTTCGTAATTTCCCACCATTACACATGGGCAAAATATGTGGGAGAGAGATCTTGTATGTCAACATGGCACATGAAAAATGCGGGGTTACTGTTAAGTGCCCTATTATTCAGTATATACGCATCTTATGGTACCTTAAACGTTAAACCCTAAAACTAAAAAAACAAAACTCTAAACCCAATATACCCGCATTATGGCAACTTTATTAACTTCCTTGACAGCAGCCCAGCTTAGAACAACGTGTCATGCATGGTTTAGGATCTAAGTTACTTAGCAGCAACCCAGCATAAACAGTGTAATTTAGAATAATTCCAAGTCCCAACTTAAGTCCATTTTGGTACTATTCTATTCCCTATATAAACCAGCATTTGGGGTGAGGTCGGGTGAGGTGGCTTTAAATTGCCTAGAGCTTGAAACAATGTGCCGTCCCGGGGTCTCCGGGCTCCTTTTGAGTAGCTTTTTTTGGTGGTTAAACTCAGTAAGATTATATTCCTTATACAAGATACTATACCCCAAAAGGGCTTACTCTATATTAAGTACCATAGTATCCCCAAATAAATACTACTCTTTTGTGTTTTATTGGCCAAGGAACAGCCCGCAGGTTAGTGGCGCTATCTGAGGTCTATATGAGGGTTTGCCAAAACTGGGGGGGGGGGTGCCTTCTCAGGAGTCCCGAAAATAGGGGGTATAGTATTTTGGGGTCTATGTTGGGGTCCCTCCATTTAGGAAACTACCATATAGGCCTTCATTCACCCCAGGGGCTTCCTTGAGGTTTCAGCTTTAGCGAGAAGATCAGGACAATTCAATTTCTGGGCCAAGCGGTCCCGTGGACATAGGCGTGAAAGTGCTGTGACAGCCACACACAATTCTCCTGCTGCCTCGAACTCACCCGGTTTAAAACAGTCTAGCTACTTGGCCTGAAAGAAGGTCATGTTGGCATGGGGCAAGGCAGTTGATGTAATCAGTTTGTCCAGGACGATACCTCAAGCCAGTTTTTAACCCTCCAGACTGAGCTTCTGAATTGCCGGTTAAGACTTCATGGCTTTCATGTTGCATGCGCCTAAACCCACAAAATGTGGAATAATTGCCTGTTGGCTACTTTTCTGAGTTTGGGGTCTTTATTCTACGTACTTTTGGGTCCAGGTAGTACATGCAGCATGAATTGGGGAATGAGCAACGGATTTTCTGGGAAATCTTGAACTGACTAAGCGGACTTCCAATGCATCTTGTCTACGACAATTGCAACACATTCTGTATGCAGCTAATACAATTGCACTGTTATGACTGAGCCCGAACCCTTAACTATCCTTCATTCAAGGCAAAGCACTCGGCTTGCCTCCGCCCACGACAGACTTCAAACACATGGCCAGTTCAGGCATCGATGAAACATGCAGCGCCCTGATGTAAAACTCCCCATTACAAGGAGCCTTGCTCCCTAAGCCCAAGAAATCGCGAGAATCCGAATAACCTAGAAGCTCAACTCCTCAACCCATATCCTACGAGTAGCTCCACAACCCCAGACCACCTTGTGTCGTTGAGATCCCGAGCCTCAAACACTGAAGTAAGGACCACGGCTAGGTCAATGTAGTTCATGAAGTTCTTCCTGAAAATTTGGCGAGCATAACATTTTGCAGGACTTGACAAGGTTGCAGGGTCAAACCTAGATGCAGGCTTCAGTGACTGGAGTTTCCAGGTTTGGAACACGCGCATCGCGCAACTCGAGAGTTCGGCAACGGCTACCAAGCGTTGTCAAAAGGCCATGCGAGCGTACTGAGTTGCAGCGCAACTTAGAAACACGTCTGTAGTTGATGACTGACCACCTGAAAATCACGTAATCATGCAAGGAAATTACGTTCCTCTTTCTCAAAGGATCTGCCGTGCAGACTGGAGAAGTTAGGGACGCCTTCCACTGTGACATGGGTTGTTGCATTGTCCAGCCCGACAGTGACAGGTTCTGTCGTCAAATAACCGTTGGACCTACAGGAGTCGGTCTCATAAATTCATCGTGCGCGTGCATGTTGCGGCGACGTGTATCCTTCTGCTTTTATCAAGCTACACCCTACACACTATGAATTTGATCGCAAGAGGGCTTAGCGAACTAAAGCTATGTTCTGCCAGCCCTTGGTGGCAAGGTAAGACCTTGCAAGGGACCACTACGAAACAATAAAAAAAGATGTGTCACTGCCCGCAATGCTGTGATGAAATAACACTTCCTGGTTAATTAGAAGGCTAGCTTGCAAACCGCCCTTCCCTTACGAGGTGATCAAATCCCTGAATAACGGTCATTTCCAGTTAATCCTGAGAACGTTGGTGTCTCCTCCCTGCATGTCCTCAGGATTCCCTCTGTCACTCTTGGAGTCTAGAGATCTTCGTGTAGATAACGGGAGAGGCAACAAGAAGAAGTCTGTAACTAGACTACAGCTTTGAGCCATTTCTCCCTTCTACCCCCCCCCCCCACGAAAGGAAGCCCGCTTCTTTGGGGAGTGCAATGTTCGCTTGGGGAAATGCATCTTCGGAATCGTGAATTTGCAAGCTTCGCCTCCACATCTGAAAGTGCAAACTTACTGATTACATCGTGCAGGGCTTAGGATTGAAGCCCTAGCTCCT